GGCTGTGAGTGGGGAGTGAGGGGCAGCGGCAGAGCTGCGGTGGGGGGATCCCAGGACCGGGGTCGCAGACGCGAGGCCCTGACGCTTCCCTCCCCAGGCTGGGGCCCAGCCCAGGCTCCCAGGGGGCCCCACAGAAGCTCCATTGTTCCCCCCAGATCCTGCTTTGCATGGGGGATTAGCAGGGATCAGCTGTTTGTTTGTGTCTCTGTCCCAGAGCATGGGGGGGACACACCCAGCCCCCCCGTCACTGAACTTCCTCTCCCCTAGATCCCCTAGATCCAGCCCCACACAGAGACTCAGGAACCAGGCACCCCAGAGGGGGAGGGGCAAACGAACCCCCCCCCAGCAAACTGGTTCAGTGGGGGGAGGGTTCTGCTGTCCATGGAGCGGGGGTCAGACCCCCAGCAAGGCCAGACAAGGCTCCTCACAGCGGGGCAGGGGCTCGCGTTGCCTCCCAGCCCGGCACCCCGGGAAGCGTCACACGGTGCAGCCCAGGGGTGCAGGGGGAGCAGAGCGAGAGCAAAGGCCCCACACGCGGCCTCCGTGGACCCTGTGATTATGGCCCCGCAGCTGGGCCGAGCCCCCTGCACCCCGTGGTCTGGGTGTGTGTGGGTGTGTGTGTGGGTATATACTGGGGGTGGGGTGGATGGGTGTGGAGGGGGTGTGTGTGTGGGTGGGTGTTTGGGAGTGTTTATGGGTGTAGGGGGGCTGGGTGAGTGGATGAGTCTATGGGTCTGTGTGTGGGGGTGGGGGTGTGGGGGTGTATGGTGTGTGTGGGGTGTGTGTGTGGGTGTATACTGGGGTGGGTGTGGGGGTGGGTGTATGGGTGTGTGGGTGTGGATCGTGGGGGTGTCTATGGGTGTATGTGCGGGTGTGTATGAGTGTGGGGTTGTGGGGGTGTATCATGGGGGTGTCGGTGTTTCTATGTTGTGTGCATGGGTGTGTATGGGTGTGAGGGGCTGGTGTGTGTGTGTATCGTACGGGTGTGTGGGTGGGTGTGTGGGTGGGGAAGCCAGAGGGTCCTGCCCCCCAACTCCGCAATCAGACGTGACTCTCAGCCAGCCAGTAAAACAGAAGGTTTATTAGACGACAGGAACATGGTCTAAAACAGAGCTTGCAGGTGCAGAGAACGGGACCCCTCAGCTGGGTCCATTTTGGGGGGCAGTGAGCCAGACAACCACGTCTGCACTTCACTCCATGTCCTAGCCAGCCCCAAACTGAAAACCCCCTCCAGCCCCTCCTCCTCTGGGCTTTGTTCCTTTCCCGGGCCAGTAGGTCACCTGATTCCTTTGTTCTCCAACCCTTCAGCTCTCACCTTGCAGGGGGGGAAGGGCCCAGGCCATCAGTTGCCAGGAAACAGGGTGTTGGCCATTCTCTGTGTCCAGACCCCTGCACACACCTGCCCTCTAGGGCTCTGCAATGATCATACACCCTTACCCCACCCCCTAGATACTTAAGAACTGCCTAGGGGAAACTGAGGCACCCCCACACTATTCAGAGGAAACATTAAGAACAGTCCCACTTCTTCACAGGGCCCATGTCCAGCCAACCCCTGTTCCGGACTCCCCCCCTCGATCCCCACAAGGGCGGGGGGGGTCAGCCTGGCCCTGCAGCCGCCTGGGCAGAACGTGGAACCCGAAGGCGCCACCCCCCAGCCCCGCTCGGCCCAAGAGCCCCGGCCTGGGGGCAGCGACAATGGGCTGGCGGCTCCCCGACACCCCGGGGTAACACTCCGCAACGCTGGGAACCGCAGGACGCAGCGAGACGGACGGGCTGACACTGATGTGACCCCCCCGCCCCGTGTGTGTGTGTGTCCCCCTGCGCCCCCTGCTGGACGGGACGGGCCCTGCTGTGGGGGTGGGGTGGGGGTGTGTGTATGACGCTGTGTGTGTGTATGAGTGTGGCGGTGTGTATGGGTGTGGGTGTTCGGGAGTGTTTGTGTGTGGGAGGATGGGTGGGTGGGTGAGTGGATGTGTCTATGGGTGTGGGGGGGGAGTGTGTGTGGGTGTGTATGGTGTGTATCGTGGGGGTGTCTATGGGTGTGTGTATAGTGTGGGGGGGTGTATGGGGGTGTGTGTGTGTATGGGATGTCTGTGCGGGTGTGTATGGTGTGGGGGTGGGGGAGTGGGGCGTGTTTGTGGGTGTAGGTGTGGGTGTGTGCAGGTGTGTGGGTGGGGGTGTGGGTGTGTATCCTGGGGGTGTCTATGGGTGTGTGTATGGTGTCTGTGCGGGTGTGTATGGGGGTGTGTGGGTGGGGGTGTATAGTGTGTATTGTGGGAGTGTCTATCGGTGTGTGCATGGTGTGTGTGCGGGTGTGTGTGGGGGGTGTGGGCATGTATGGTGTCTATCGTGGAGGTGTGTATCATGGGGGTGTCTATGGGTGTGTGCAGTGTGTGTGTGTGTGGGGGGTGTCTGTGGGGGGGGGGGTGGACACACATGGGCCCACAGGCGGGGCGGGATCAGGCTGCTCAGCCCAGCTCTGTGTCTGTCTGTGCCCAGGGGCCTCACACTCTGTCCTGTTCCCCCCGAGCCCCAGCCCATCCTGCCGGGGGGGGGGGGCTTTGGCTCCCAGAAATGTCCCAGATTCCCGTCAGTCTGGGCTCTGCCCCCCCCTCCGCAGGGGTCTCCCTGTGCCCCCCACTCCCTAACGGGGGGTTTGTCTCCCACTTCCCACGGGTGACTTCCAGGGATGAGCCCCCCCTCCACACAGCCTCCACTGGAGGGCAATATCTGGGGAGAACAGGGGGAGTAGGAGTCCTGGAGGCTGGGGGGCCCTGCCCCCTTTCATGCACCAGCCCCCCAGGGGCCGATTTCTGCGCTGTGTGACCCCCCACACACACATCTGCCAGGGCCAGACCCCCCGCTCAAGGGGGCAGGCGGGCTCGGATTGCTGCACCCCCCCGCCCCCGTGTCTGGGTGGGGGCAGGGGGAGGGGCGGGTGAGTCCCTCCCCCGGCAGGGGAGGCAGGCAGGGCTGTCAGGAAAGGGGGGGCACGGTGCCAAAGGGGCTGGGAGGGGCAAGGGAGGTGCTTCGTGCCGGCTCCGCTCCCTCCAGCTTCCCCCGTCTCTGCCCTTTGCCCCCAGCTGGGAACCAGGCGTCTCTGCCGTCCCGGCGGGTCCCGCAGCAGCGAAGGGCGATGGGGCGAATCCCCCACAGACCGGGCGGCCCTTGGACAGGGATTCTCCTGGCAGGTCAGAGGGGGAGAACGTGGGACCCAGGTGTCCGGGACAAAAAGGGCTGCAATAGGAGCCAGTGTGAATGAAAGCGGAGGGGCTGTGGGTCGGGACGCAGGGGCCCCGGCAGAGCTGGGCGAGGGGCACCCCAGGGCTGGAGTAGTCGGAGGGGGGCTCTGACGCTTCCTTTCCCAGTCTGGGTCCAACCCCACCCTCCCCCGAGGCTGAGCCCCCAAGCCGCGGGGACACGCACAGAAGCCCCTGTCCCGCAGCAGGGATCAGTGTTTGCTTGTGTCTCTCTGGGCTAGAGAACTGGGGGACACACACCCTGCCCCCCCCCCACTGAATTCCCTCCCCCAGGTCTAGTAGGCGGAACCAGAGCCAGGCAGAGACCCAGGGACCCAGCACCCCGTGGGGGAGCGGGGGAAGAAGGGAGAAGACCCTTTCCCTACCCCGCCAACCCCCCCGGCACGGGTTCCTTCCTCCAAAGCGAAGGGGAAGTGAGCGGAGGAGGCGGGGAGGGGAAGCCTGAGGCCGGAGGGGCCCCGTGGGGCTGCCCTGCCTGTGGGTCCGGACTCCAGGGTCTCGGCCCAGAGACGCCTCCCCTGGGTCGAGGCAGGTCCGGCTGCAGCAAAAGGCGGCTGGGCGGCACCTGGCGAGGGGTCCCTTGCAGCTGAGAGGGTGGAGCGGGGGTGGGGGGGGAACCCAGGTGTCCCAGACACCAAGGACTGTAACAGGGGACAGTGCAAATGCAAACGGAGGGGCTGCAGGTCGGGAGTGAGGGGCACCACTTGGTATCTGCCTCTCTGGTCTCCCCCCGCAGCCTCCGTCCTGGGCTCCTGCCTCCAGCCGGCGCCGGCCCAGACCCCGGTGACCATCGTCCTCACCCCGCCGAGCCCCGCGGTGGGAGGGGGCGTCACCCTGGCCCCCCAGCCAGCGCCACAGGACTTGCTGTCGTGCGGCTGGTTCCGATCAGCGACCACTGATGAAGCAGCCGGATCCTCACCTACTTCCCAGGACCACCCCCCGTCCAGAACAACGACTTGGCCCACACGGGGCGGGAGACAGCGGGGCCGGGCTGCGCCCTGCACATCGCGGGGTTAAGGCTCAATGACACCGGGAAATACACGGTGGATATTCAGAGCCGGACTAGCCCTGCCGTCACCTCCACGGTGCATCTGCCTGTCTCTGGTAAGAGCCACCCCCGGGCCCTGCCCCGTCCCCATCCCCGCCCCAGCGATGGGCTCTGGGCCTCTCCCCGGGGATGAGCCTGGCTGGGTCATGGGGGGAACCCGCCCCCAAACACAGACCCTGCCCTGTATGTGGCATCCCACCTTCCCTGCCCCCAAGAGATGATGACCCCCCAATACACAGAGATGTGGGGCTCTGGGCCCCCAGACGCCCCCTCCCTGAGCTGGGAGCCAGGACTGAACATGGATGGGGAGTGACCCCCCCCAACAGCTGCTGCTGTGGCAGTTGGTATAATCTGCATTAACCCCATTCTGCCGGCTCCACAGACCTCCCCACGCAGACCCCACTCCCCTGCCCTGCCCCGATCGAACCCAGGAGTCCTGGCTCCCAGCCCCCGCTGCTCTAACCCACCAGCCCCCACTCCCCTCCCAGAGCTGGGGAGAGAACCCAGGAGTCCTGGCTCCCAGAACGCCACTCTTTCTTATGTAGCCGTGTAGCCCTACAATAAAGTCTGTGGCTGGATAACAGCTCACTACTGCTGCCAGGGCTGCGGGGCAGGAGCCCCGTAGAGCGAGGGCTCCCCTGGGGTCGGGGTGAATCCAACTGCTCCCCCAGGGACGCTCTCTCTGTTCCCAGAAATGCTGCCCAAGCCCACTGTGACGCCAAACCAAACCCAGGTGCTGGAGAACGGGACCTTCACCCTCACGTGTAACAGCTCCCCCCACGCCAACACCCTGCTCTGGCTCCGGGACGGGGCGTCCCTCGCGCCCAGTGACCGGCTGGGGCTGTCCCCTGACAACCGGACCCTCACGGTGTCGGGTGTCACCCGGGGCGATGCCGGCGCCTACCAGTGCGAGGTCAGGAACCCCGTCAGCACCGAACGCAGCGAGCCCAGCAACGTGACGGTGGCCTGTGAGTAACTGCAGCCCCGTCCCCCGGCCGCGCTGCCCCCGGCCCTGCCGGCATCGCCCAGCCACGGAGATGCAGCCATCTCTGGGGTGGGGCACCAGGGCTGTTCATACGGGGATCTCTCACTGACGCTGTCCTTTCCCTTGATCCTCTCCCTCTCTGTGTAGATGGGCCAGACTCTGCCAGGATAGACCCGCCAGGACCCATCGACCTGACCCTCGGGTCCCTTCTCACCCTGTCGTGCGTCGCCGACTCCGTCCCAGCCCCGAGCTATCGCTGGGTCCTCAATGGCACCGACACTAACGAGACCGGGACCAGCTTGACCTTTAACCCCACGACCTTAGATCACCAGGGCACGTACAAGTGCCAGGCTCACAACCCAATTACCAACCGCACTGCCCGGGCATCTGTCGCCGTGCGGGTGACAGGGACGGGTGAGTCCCCGGGATGGAACAACGCGCTGCAGACACAGGGATCCCACTACTGGCACCAACGCCCCAGTGCGGCACTAGGGGCCCAGGCTGCAGGGAGCGGCGTGGGGGGATTGTTACTGACTGTCACGGAGTCCCTGGGCAATGCTCTGGAACTGCTCCCCATGAAGCCAGTCAGGACTCTGGGATAGTCGCCTTTCTGTGAGCAGCCTGTCTTCAGGACACACAGCTCACACAGCTTCCACCTTCCTGGGTCTGACCTCGGAGCATTCAGCCTCCTCTGCCCCTCCGTGCGCTTCCCCACAGCGAGTCCGCTCAGGCGGGGCTCCTGGGGAAGCCAGAGGGTCCTGCACCCCAACTTCGCAGTCAGACGTGACTCTCAGCCAGCCAGTAAAACAGAAGGTTTATTAGACGACAGGAACATGGTCTAAAACAGAGCTTGCAGGTGCAGAGAACGGGACCCCTCAGCTGGGTCCATTTTGGGGGGCAGTGAGCCAGACAACCACGTCTGCACTTCACTCCATGTCCTAGCCAGCCCCAAACTGAAAACCCCCTCCAGCCCCTCCCCCTCTGGGCTTTGTTCCTTTCCCGGGCCAGTAGGTCACCTGATTCCTTTGTTCTCCAACCCTTTAGCTCTCACCTTGCAGGGGGGGAAGGGCCCAGGCCATCAGTTGCCAGGAAACAGGGTGTCGGCCATTCTCTGTGTCCAGACTCCTGCACACACCTGCCCTCTAGGGCTCTGCAATGATCATACACCCTTACTCCACCCCCTAGATACTTAAGAACTGCCTAGGGGAAACTGAGGCACCCCCACACTATTCAGAGGAAACATTAAGAACAGTCCCACTTCGTCACACTGACCGACTGATCCAACCCTCCCCACATCTCTCCTCCAGCCCCAGTCGCCCCTCGTCCAGGTCTCTCTGCCGGGGCCGTCGCTGGGATCGTCATCGGGTTGCTGGCGGGGGCGGCGCTGGTCGGAGTCGGGGCCTATTTCCTCTGTGAGTGACACCCGGCCCCCCCCCGGGAGAGCCAGGACTCCTGGGTTCTCTCCCAGCTCTGGGAGGGGGCTTGGGTCTAGTGGTTAGAGCAGGGGGCTGGGAGCCAGGACCCCAATTCCAGCATCTCTGATGATTCCTCCCAGACTCTCGCTGCCAGAACGAGACCCCCAAGGAGAACGAGGCACCTGTCCCAGTGTACGAGAACCTGCCCCCGACAGTCGGGGCGGGGCCAGTGGTGAGTGACAAGGGCCACCTCCACCCCCCTCTATTCCAGGCCCAGCCCCTCCTCTGCGGATGCCCCTCAGTCCCGAACCGCAGCCCCCAGCCAGTTTACCCTGTCCCCTTTGGGGGGTGGGGGAGGGTTACACAAGCCCTGGGTCCCACTGACTCTCTCAGGGTCCCTCCCCCCACCCCGAGCTCGGCTGGAGGAGTGGGGGGGTCTTTGTGGTCTGGTGCTAAAGCCCCTCTTGCCTCTGTCTCCCCCAGGCCCAGCCCGGGAGCCCCCCTGACCCCAGCCCCACGTACCAGGTGAGCACCGGCCCCTTGCGCTGTATCCTCCCCCTGAGGGGGGTTCGGACCCAGTGGGGGGAGGGGGAGCTGCCCCCCAGAAGCCCTATGGCTGAGAACGGGGCTGGTTAACACATCCCAGAACGGGGGGAGCAGAGTGAGCCAGAAGGGGACCAGCCGGGAGCCTCAGGGCTGAGGGGAGGCGCTATGGGGGGCCCAGTACTGGGAGGGGGAGGATGGGCCCCTGGTGTGGGAGGGGCTGTTGGGGTCCCACGGGGGGGAGGGGACTGGGCCCTCCCCGGGGCATCTCTGGCTGAATCGTCCCCGTTTCCCCCAGACGCTGCAGCCCCGACAGCGGGACATGTACGAGGAGCTGAAGAAGTGACGCCCCCTCCGGCCCCCCCGGTGCATGCTGGGAAAGGCGCGTCCCCGAGCCTGGGTCCCGCCGATGAAGCGTTAAAGGGCAGGAACAGCCACCGCCCGGCCCGGGCGGTCGGTCCGTCCGTCGAGGCTGCTTCCCTGGCGCCCATCACCGCGGCGTCTGGGCCCCTCCAAAGAAATCAGAAACTCGGCGCCTGTGAGTGGCTCTGGCTCCATTCTGCCCAGCACAGTATTTGGGAGCCCGCCTCTGCCACCGGCTCGGGGACGTCTCAGGACCAAACACCTCCCAGCCCGGGGCACGTGCCCTGTTTTCTGCCCCCCTGAGCTGAGCCTGGCGCGCTGAGCTGTGTCCCCCCCAGGCCGCGGGAGCTCCCCACTGCACAGAGGGGCCCGGGCAGCTCAGTGACCAGCCTGGGTCCCACGGGGAGTCTGTGGGGCTGCAGGGACTCGGACCCGGGTCTCCCCAGTGCCCAACTGGTGCCCAAACCAGGGCCAGGGGTCCCCGCCCAGGGCTTCCCCCCCACCCTGCCTCCAGTGCCCGGCCCTGCATCTTCCCCTCCCTGGGGCAGTTCTCCCATGCAGAGCTGTGAACAGCGATGCCGACCCGCCCGGCTGGGACCTGGGACCCCTGGCGGAGGGCACAGGGCACCGTGGGGCTCATGGGGCTCCCGGCTCTGATGTCTACAGACCAGCCCCCAAAGGGGCTCGTGGGGTCCCTGCCCAGAGCTGGCATCGCTGGGCGCGGTGACCGTGGCGAGCCGTGTGCCAGGGTCACGTCCGGGGCTGTGTGTCTGGCCTGGGTCTCAGGGGCTGGTTCCAGCCGGGCAGCGGGAGGCGCCAGGCCCGTCCCTGGCAGACAGGAGGCACCGGGCCGTTCTCTCTGTGCCCGGCTCCGGGGCAGCTGGGTGGTGCCGAGCTCGCCAGGCGGCTGGTTCCACCCGGAGCCAGGCCCCAGGAGCATCTGCCCCATCCCCAGGGAAGCAGCCGGCAGGGAAAAGGGCCCAGTGCGGGGGGCAGGCGTTTCTGAGGACAGACGCTGGCTTGGTGGGAGCTATCGCGGGGTGCGGGGTGCACCCAGGGTCCTGCCCCGTGGGGAGCAGCTGCCAGCGGGTTTGTCTCCTGCAGGGAGCGTCGGAGCCCGGGCGGCTGGGAGCCGGATGCTGGCGGGAGCTGAACCCCGCAGGAGCTTCCAGGGGCGGGTTCGGGACGTTGGGACTCTGGGAAACGCGTCCACAGTTTGTTCTCCATGTTACCCATTGTCCCGTTAACTCCATGAGAACGTAAGAGCTGCCAGAGTGGGTCAGACCCAAGGTCCATCCGGCCCAGTGTCCTGTCTGCCAACAGTGGCCAGTGCCAGGTGCCCCAGAGGGAATGAACAGACCCGGGAATCGCCCAGTGATCATCCCCTGTCGCCCATTCCCAGCTCCTGGCAAACAGAGGCTAGGGACACCATCCCTGCCCATCTTAGCGAATAGCTATTGATGGACCGATCCTCCAGGAACTTATTGAGTTCTTTTTTGAACCCTGTTATAATCTTGGCCTTCACAACATCCTCTGGCAGGGAGTTCCAGAGGTTGACGGTGCGTTGCGGGAAGAAAGACTTCCTTGTGTTTGTTCTAAACCTGCTGCCCGTTCCTGTCATTTCCCGATCCCTAGTTACGAGGAGTAAATAACAGGAGCCTCCAGCGGCTCCTTCTCCAGCTCTGGGCTCTGGTCAATAAACTCAGCCTGGTTGTCTCTGTAAGGCCTGGCCATGCTGGGACCAAGTGGGGGCGCTGACTGGGGGGGTGGGGGGGGTCACTGCTCAGCTGGGGGGTCTGAGTCCATGGGGGCAGCGGAGCTGGGAACTTGGCCAGTGGGCAGCGCCAGGGGCTGGGCACCCCCGGGTGGATCCTGGGCGATGGGGGCGCCGATCGCTGACCTGTCGAGGGCTGAACGGGGGGCTTTGGGGCTCTGACCCCCATTAAGGCCAGACAAGGCTCCTCACAGCGGGGCAAAGGGTCGCAGGGGGCCTCCCAGCCCGGTACCCCGGGAAGCGTCACACGGCACAGCCCAGGGGTGCAGGGGGAGCAGCGTGAGAGCAAAGGCCCCGCACGCGAAGCCGCCAGGCCACGGGAGCCCCCGGCGCGATGCCGCCCCCAGCAGGGCCAAGGGGACCCGGGTGCGTCTGGCCCGGACCCTGGCCGAGCCGAGCCCTCGCTGCTGCCCCCTGCTGGAGAAGTGAGGCCCAGGCCCCCGCAGGCTCAGCCGGACAGGGGCTGCCCCGGCAGGGAGCTCTCGGCCCCACTCCTGGGGAGCCGGGGGACGGCCCCGCTGGGCCAGGCCTGATTTGTGTCCCTGGGCTTGGACCCTCTGGGCATTGCCCCTTCACAGCAGAAGGACCCAGGGGCGCTGGAGCCATATGCCCAGTGGGGGGCTGAGAGCCATTGAACCCTGCAAACCCTGCAAACCACGTCCAGCCAAGGGGTGCGGCAGCCCCCCAAGTTCCAGCACCCACAGCAGGACCCGTCTCGATCCAGTGCCGGGGGGCAGTCTGTGCTGTGAGCCTGGACCCACAGGCAGGGCAGCCCCACAGGGCCCTTCCTGGGTGAGACTGTCCCCTCCGAGCTGCACCCACCCACTTCCCCTTCGGCTGCTAGGGAAGGGTGTGTGTGTGCGGTCGTGGGGGGGTGTGACTCTGCCTCTTCCTGGGGGTGTCTGTCCCCTGGGTCTCACGCTCCTTCACAGCCGCCCCACCCGTTCCCATTCCTGCTGGTTACCATCAGCCCCTCCCACCGGGTATTGCTCCACCGGCCGATTGCCCCATTTCCTGTGGGCTCTCCCAGAGCGATCGGCTCCGGCTCTCGGCAGACTCAGGCAGCGTCGGTCAGGCCTGGGTCACATGTTCAGGGTTTTTTGGGTGGCCTCCCAGCATGCACCAGGCTCTCCTTGGCATGACTCTGGCTCTCGATTTGCGCTCCCACAACTCCTGTCCCAGCCGGGTGGACACGGCCCAGGCTGGCGCTGGGCCCCGGGTACTGGCCGAGTGGGAGCTCCCAGGACACACGCTCCCGGCGCAGAACGGGGAAAACGGGCTCTGGCCAGTACCGAGCGGCCGGGCTGCCCCAAGCAGCGCACGGCAGAGGAATCACGGTCCTGGCGGGACCTGGGCACGGGGCCGTAACACACGCGGACGCCCAGACTCACCCGGGTTCCGGCTTGGGGCCAATCACCGGCTGGTCGGCGAAGGGACGCACCGCAGAGCTCACACGCCCGGCGTCCAGGAAAGCCTCTGCCATGGAGCCCCGTGGGGACTTCCCCGCTGCGTCACGCTGGGGCCCACCCACGCTGCGTGCGGTGGGTTGGGAGCCGGCCACGGGGCGAGGGCCGCGGGCGGTGCTGAGCGGGGACTCACTGGCCTGGAGGGAGGTTGCTACAGGCGGGCGGGCGGCTCGGTCTGGGAACCAGCTGTCACGGAGTCCCTGGGCGATGCTCTGGAACTGCTCCCCATGAAGTCAGTCAGGACTCTGGGGTAGTCGCCTTTCTGTGAGCAGCCTGTCTTCAGGACACACCGTCTTCAGCTCACACAGCTTCCACCTTCCTGGGTCTGACCTCGGAGCATTCAGCCTCCTCTGCCCCTCCATGCGCTTCCCCCAGCGAGTCCGCTCAGGCGGTGCTCCTGGGGAAGCCAGAGGGTCCTGCACCCCAACTTCGCAGTCAGACGTGACTCTCAGCCAGCCAGTAAAACAGAAGGTTTATTAGACGACAGGAACATGGTCTAACACAGAGCTTGCAGGTGCAGAGAACGGGACCCCTCAGCTGGGTCCATTCTGGGGGGCAGTGAGCCAGACAACCACGTCTGCACTTCACTCCATGTCCCAGCCAGCCCCAAACTGAAAAACCCTCCAGCCCCTCCTCCTCTGGGCTTTGTTCCTTTCCCGGGCCAGTAGGTCACCTGATTCCTTTGTTCTCCAACCCTTCAGCTCTCACCTTGCAGGGGGGAAGGGCCCAGGCCATCAGTTGCCAGGAAACAGGGTGTCGGCCATTCTCTGTGTCCAGACTCCTGCACACACCTGCCCTCTAGGGCTCTGCAATGATCATACACCCTTACCCCACCCCCTAGATACTTAAGAACTGCCTAGGGGAAACTGAGGCACCCCCACACTATTCAGAGGAAACATTAAGAATAGTCCTACTTCGTCACATCTCTCCCCCCTTCGAGATCGAACTGAGCGGGGTCACTTTAGCCGGTGACCTGGGGAAGTTCGAAGCCACCAACGTTCCCATGGATGCCCCAGCATCTCTCCCATTCCTTGGTAGGAGTTACACCAGGCCCTTCCAGTTTCACGCCCTCCCTTAGGTCAGGGGTGGTCGATAGCACTCGCAGGCCGCATGTGGGAAGGTTTATGCAGCCCATGCCCTTTGGCCACCCCAAGAATGTCTCCCCATTGACCATCACCTTCTGCTCCCACTGGAGGTCCGGGGGGCCTGTTCCCAGGAAACTCCACACAGACATATAGGTTGGGGTCAGGAGTGGGAGCCTGTCCACATCCCCAACCATCTGGCTGACGGAGTCTGTGGCCTTGGGACCCAGCAAGGGAGCTAGACACCGGGGCTTTTCCGCAGGGTCCCCTTGGTTCAAATCGCCAGCCTGCTCAAAGGCAGTGAGGTGGGCATCCACACACCCCCCCTCCTTAACCAGGGGCAGCAATTTAGTCTCGAGGTTCCCTGCGGAACTGGCCCCCCGGGATCTATCCCCACTCACCCCTGGGAGGTCCCCTAGGCCTCTCCGCTCCCCCACCGCCAGTTCATGCTGCTGCTGCTTCTGCAGCTCTTTCTCGGGCTCTCGCTGTCTCCCACGGTCCTCTTGCTCTCTCAGACTCAGCTCCAATCCCGTCCGTCTCGATCCCCCGATGGGGAACCCGATCGTGAAGACCCTTGTCTGGTCGGGGACAGGAGTCTTGGCGATGCCTGGCTCCCGCTTCAGCTGCTCCCAGATCCTGCTATAGCCCCAGTTGGGGTCAGGAATCTGTTCCTTAGAGCGGTCATCCTCCTCCAGCTGCACGATTAACTCTGCTTTGGTGAACTTTCCAATGCTCAACCCTCTCTGTTTGCACAGGGTTACAATGTCCTTCTTAAGGAGACGGTGACAGGCCATCACTCCGCTCCTCCCAAGTTGTTGTGGACTCACAGGCCCGTGTGTTCTCAGCTCCCCACGGTTTCCAGGGAGAACCCCTAGTGTGCCAGCCCTTCTCGAGGTCACCACCTCTTTGCCAGGGTCGAGCTGCAGACTCCTCCGCCCCTTGGACTGCTCGCTGCAATCCCCAGGGGAACCCTGTGTGACGATGTGACTCAGCAGGGAGGGGGGAGTGTTGACCTGGGAATGTGCCCTGGGGATGGGAGACCTGAGAGCCTGTCACCTGAGCCAGGAGGGGGGAGGGGGAGGTGACACCTCTGCCCAGGAATGTGAACAGAGGCTGCAGCAGGGAACCTGCGGGGTGAGTTTAGTAGGCAGTTTGGAGGCTGGGGGGGAGGAACACAGGGAACCCCAGGGCTGGGGTCTAAGCTCCCTGCTCCCCCAGAAGGACGTGATTGAGGGGTCCTGGTTGTACCCACAAGCTCTGTTGTGGACTGTGTTCCTGTTGTCCAATAAACCTTCTGTTTTACTGGCTGGCTGAGAGTCTCAGTGGATCCCAGGAAGAGGGGTGCAGGGCCTGGACTCCCCCACACTCCGTGACAACTGGTGGCAGCGGTGGGATCTACTGCACCCCGTGAACGGCGCTTCCTGCAGTAAGTGACTGGGGAACAGTAAAACGAAGGGGAATTGACGGGGACCAGGCATGCTGAAGATTCAGAGACGGTTTCGGGGGCGGTTAACCCCTGGGAATGTGTGACCAGAGAGAAAGACTTTTGCAGTAACAGGGTCCCCCGGGGATTGCAGCGAGCAGTCCCAGGGGCGGAGGAGTCTGCAGCTCGACCCTGGCAAAGAGGTGGTGACCTCAAGAAGGACTGGCACACTAAGGGCTTTTCCTGGAAACCGTGGGAAGCTGCCCGGCCTGCGAGTGGCCAGCAGGGAGATGTACGCTAAACGCCTTAAGAGTGACCTGGTGGAGCTGTGCAGGCAGAGGGGGCTGCGCATCGGGAGGTCCACCAAGGAACAACTGATTGCCCAGTTGGAGGAGAGGGATCGCTTGGATGACCCGATCCCTATCCCTGAGGGGAGCCGCCCGGCAGACGCAGCGTGGGCCCTGGGGCCTGACCGGGCTGGGAGGGGTCAGACTGCTGCCGAGGACATCCCGAGACCCTTCCTACCTATGTCTGGGGGAGGGGTTGGGGAAGCCCAGCGAATACCGAGGGCACCCTGACCCCAGCACCCAGCAGGGGATCCTCCCGGCGGAGCTCCCCATCCCTGGAGCGGAGGCGGCTGGAATGGGAGAGGGAGATGAAAATGAGGGAGCTGGAGGATCATGAAAAACAACGTCAACATGAGCAGGAGGAGAAGGAGAAACAACGTCAACATGAGCGCCAGGAGAAGGAGAAACAAAGACAGCACGAACTGGAGCTGGCCAGGCTGAAGAGCAGTGGGGCCCCGGCTGTGGTGAGTGAGGGGGGACCCAAGACTGCAAGGAACTTTGATAAGTGCTTCCTGGCCCAGCGGAAGGAGGGGGAGGACATAGATAGCTTCCTGACGGCCTTTGAGAATGCCTGTGAGCTGCACAGGGTTGACCCTGCAGACAGGCTCCAGTTTCTCACCCCCTTACTGGACCCCAAAGCCGTGGAGGTGTACAGCCGGATGACAGGGGCGGAGGCAGGGGACTACGAACTGTTCAAACAGGCCCTGCTCCGTGAGTTTGGGCTGACCCCCGAGATGTACCGGAGAAGGTTCCGGAGTCAGCGTAAAACGCCTGAGGTCACCTACCTACAACTGGCCAACCGGATGCAGGGGTATGCCCGCAAGTGGACAGCGGGGGCCCGAGCTAAAGAGGACCTGCTTGACCTAATTGTACTGGAGCAGCTGTATGAACAGTGCCCTTCCGACCTGAGGCTGTGGTTGGTGGACAAAAAGCTCGAGAACCCCCAGCACGCAGGGCAGCTGGCCGACGAGTTTGTGAACAGTCGGTCAGGGGGTAGCCGGGAGGAGTCCCAAAAGAACAGGCCCCCCCCGATGCAGAGAGAGAGTCACCAGGGGCCTCCCAGCGGGGAAATAGGGAGAACCCCCTCCCCAAGGGGAACGCCTGGCGTCGGGCCCCTCCGACCCGCTCGAGGGGACCAACGTGACCTGAGCTGCTATCACTGTGGCCAGAGAGGCCACGTACGGTCCCAGTGCCCTGGGCTCAGGGACAAACTGAGCAGACCCAACCTACCCAGGGTTAACTGGGTAGGGACCCAGCTGGACGAGGGGCAGACGACTCAGGCAAGGGGGCTGCCAGTTTACCACCTGCCCCGGAGGGAAGAGTACCCCAGGCCAGCTCCACCAGAGGGCTGGAGGCTCTGGACTCAGGGCGCTCAGTTTACAGGGTGGGCGCGGGGCTGTCCCTCCGGAGAGAGTGCCTTGTTCCCCTGGAGGTGGATGGGAGGAAGGTCAATGGATACTGGGATACGGGTGCGGAGGTGACGCTGGCCCGGCCCGAGGTGGTGGCCCCAGATCGGGTGGTGCCCAACACCTACCTGACCCTGACAGGGGTGGGTGGGACCCCATTTAAGGTGCCCGTGGCAAGGGTACACCTGAAATGGGGGGCCAAGGAGGGCCACAAGGATGTGGGGGTACACCACCATTTGCCCACTGAAGTTTTGATGGGGGGAGACCTAGAGGACTGGCCAAGCAAGCCCCAGACCGCCCTGGTTGTGACCCGTAGCCAGAGCCGGCGAGGGCCACTGCTCCCTGACCTTGGGGAGGGTACCGCACCGGAGGCGCAGGACCCTACCCTGGTGGGAAGGGAGGGCCGAGGGGCACGGCTCAGAGAGGCTGAGGCCTCAGACCTGGCCACTGAGGGGGAACCGGTCCCCATCCCTTCCCCAGCTGCTGAGTTCCAGGCCGAGTTGAGGAAAGATCCCTCCTTGCGGAAGCTCAGGGACCTGGCCGACCTCAGGGTGGTACGGACCATGAGGAGAGGCTGCCAGGAGAGGTTCCTGTGGGAGAAGGGGTTCCTATACCGAGAATGGGCTCCCACAAGGGAAGTAGAGTCCTGTGGGATCAGGAGGCAGCTGGTGGTCCCCCAGAAGTATCGCCGCAAGCTCCTGTACCTGGCCCATGACATCCCCCTCGCAGGGCACCAGGGAATCCGGCGCACCCGGCAGAGGTTGCTACAGAACTTTTACTGGCCCGGGGTCTTTACCACGGTCCGGCAGTATTGCCGATCCTGTGACCCCTGTCAGAGGGTGGGGAAGGCCCGGGACAAGGGGAAAGCGGCTTTGAGACCTTTGCCCATCATAGAGGAGCCTTTCCAGAAGGTGGCCATGGACATCGTGGGGCCTCTCAGCAGGACGACCCGGTCGGGGAAGAAATACATCCTGGTGGTGGTAGATTTTGCCACCCGCTACCCCGAGGCAGTGCCCTTAGCTTCCATTGAAGCAGACACCGTGGCCGATGCGCTCCTGACCATTTTCAGCCGAGTGGGGTTCCCCAAGGAAGTCTTGACAGACCAAGGCTCCAACTTCATGTCGGCCCTGCTCCGGTGCTTGTGGGAGAAATGTGGGGTCCGGCACGACTGGGCCTCAGCTTATCACCCCCAGTCCAACGGGCTGGTGGAGAGGTTTAACGGGACGCTAAAGATGATGCTGAAAACCTTTATGAACCAGCACCCACAGGATTGGGACAAGTACTTACCTCACCTGCTGTTCGCGTACAGGGAGGTGCCACAGGAGTCTACCGGATTTTCGCCTTTCGAACTGTTATATGGAAGGAGGGTGAGGGGCCCCCTGGACCTGATGAGAGACGAGTGGGAGGGGAAGGCCACTCCCGATGGAGAGTCAGTGGTGGAGTATGTCCTGATCTTCCGAGAGAGACTTGCTGAACTCATGGGCCTGGCCAGGGAGAATCTGGCCAGAGCCCAGAAGAAGCAGAAGGTCTGGTATGACCGCACGGCAAGGGCCCGTGCCTACGCCACCGGGGATCCGGTGATGGTTCTCATCCCAGTGAGAAAGAACAAACTACAGGCCGCCTGGGAGGGCCCTTTCAAGGTCGTCAAGCAGCTCAATGAGGTAAACTATGTGGTGGAGCTGTCGAACCGGGCGCACCACCGCCGGGTGTACCATGTGAATATGATGAAGCCATATTATGCCAGGGGGAATGTGGTGTTGGCCGTGTGTGGACAGTGGGAAGAGCAGGGAGATGACCCTTTAGTAGATCTATTCCCTGGGACCAGAGCTGGTTCCCCCCCCTGGAAACAATCCCCCTCTCGGATCAGCTAACCCCTGCCCAGCAAGCTGAGGTCAGGGAGGTGCTGCATCCGTCCCGACAGCTGTTTTCCAACCAGCCTGGACGCACTAATCTGACTGTCCACCGGGTGCAGACAGGGTCGCACCCGCCGATAAGATGCTCCCCCTTCCGAGTCACAGGGAAAACTGCTCAGGACCTGGAAAGAGAGGTCCGGGACATGCTGGCTTTGGGGGTGATCCAGCCATCTGCCAGCCCTTGGGCCTCGCCGGTGGTGCTGGTCCCCAAAAAGGACGGGTCGGTCCGGTTCTGCGTGGACTATCGGAAGCTCAATGCCATCACTGTATCGGATGCCTACCCCATGCCCAGGCCGGACGAGCTCCTAGACAAGCTGGGAGGAGCTCGGTACCTCACCACCATGGACCTTACAAAGGGCGACTGGCAAGTGCCGCTGGATGCAGAGGCCCGGCTGAAATCGGCCTTTATCACCCCTCTGGGGCTCTATGAGTTCCTGACCCTGCCTTTCAGCCTCAAGCGAGCGCCGGCCACCTTCCAGTGCCTGGTGGACCAGCTCCTGAGGGGGATGGAGAGTTTTGCCGTGGCGTATATTGATGACATCTGTGTCTTTAGCCAGACCTGGGAGGACCATGTGTCCCAGGTTAGACAAGTGCTGGACCGACTCCAGGGGGCTGGGCTGACTGTAAAAGCGGAGAAGTGCAAGGTGGGGATGGCGGAAGTGTCTTACCTGGGCCATCGGGTGGGGAGCGGCCGCCTAAAGCCGGAACCAGCCAAGGTGGAGGTGATCAGAGACTGGCCCGCTCCCCACACCAAAAAGCAGGTCCAAGCCTTTATTGGGATGGCAGGATACTACCGAAGATTTGTGCCCCACTTTAGCGCCATAGCCACCCCCATCACTGAGCTATGCAAGAAGGGGAAGCCAGACAAGGTGGTCTGGACCGAGCA